GTCATCTGAGCTTGTTTGCCTATCTGTCTGTCTTGTTTTTTGTATTGCCTCGAGGACGAACGCTACAGTGTTTTTATTATTTTGAAATTAACACTCGATCATTTCATAATTTTTCATGTTGTTCTCCTTTTTTTTTCAGTAAGTAACACAAGTCCTTTTTTTCTCGCCATGATATACCATCATTGTATAAAAAATTCTTCAATTATCTGCACGGTTAAGCCCCCATTTAACGCTAGAGCTACCATGTACGTTATTTTGATCTTTTTTAATTTTCGATTTTCAAACAAATGGGTATTACGTAGGTGATGCTTTAAAATTTTTTGACTGCTTTCACTTATACGAAAAGAACTTCAAATATCTGATCTAGTTTTCGAGACACCAATGCTGTGTACCTACCTCCATCCAAAGAAATCATTTCGATTCTCTTTTTTTGTGAAATCGCCAGAGTCGCTAAAAGAGTGGAGCTAAAAAATTTAAACTTGGTGCAAACACTTCTTGACTGATTGAAAATCCATATTTAAAATATGGTCATAATTTGTTCCACTACCGTGGAAAAACACCAATTTCCAGTTTATTTCTAATTGGATGAAAATTGTGTTACTGTGCTTTAATAAAGTAAACAAGAAATACATTGGAATTACAATTTTCTTGTTAATTTTGAACCTGTTAGTGGACCAATTGCAACCATTTTTGGACGGAACGCGAAGATGATCCTAGGAATATCTTCACGGAATCAAAAGTTTTAGATGAAAGTATGGAAAAATTATCGATGTAGGTATATGCAGAACATGGCGAATTTTTTTTTGATCAAAATTGATTTATTTTTAAGCATATTTGTACCGCATTTAAAGTTTTTCTTTATTACCTTTATTTATTTGCTACCAAAAAAACTATTAAAAACTTTTATGTTTTCTTTAACTCGTTGCTAGTTTTTAAACATTTTGGCTCTTAGTTTGCTAGCGGTTATAATGCGTAACCCGCAAATGATGGAAGAATTGCAAAATAATTATGACTACAATGTTGATTTAAATGCACCGGCTTTACCGACGCCATTAAGTAAAGTTGATCCGCCCTATGCTTACCGTGATCATTCATTAAATTATCGTAAGCAATACCGTAAGCATATATATGTGCTAAGGACAAGCAATGTGCCCTATTAAGCGCTTAATTTCTTCCAACAGAAAGCTACGACATGGGTGGTTTAGTGTGCACCTGCATGATCGCCATAACAATGATGATGATTTATGGAGCTATAAAAGGAAAACCGTCTCACCTGTTACCTTTCTTTTGTTTGCAATTATTTGATTTTGCTATAACAACGTAAGTGTAATATTATATTGACTCATGTTATGTTAACACATTACGTACAACAAGCATATATTTGTGCATTTCTTTAAATTTTATGCAAAACCCGCACGCAAGACTTTTATGTAAATTAAAAATTTAACCTAAACGAAATGTTTTTTTTTTATACATAGTTTATATATATATTTCAAAACGTTATCAATTACTTTAGTAAGAAGCTTTAGAAGTTGTAGATTTGCACCTAAGGCTTTGTAGTTTTGAATGAACGCCATGTGAAGTGATACTGCGATGTGCCCAACCCCATCTCAACATATAAGCTTTTGTTCATAAATTTGTGTACTTCATTAAAGTTTAGATTATTCTGAGAATTCAGTTCAACATTTAAAACATACTAATATATAAAGAAGAAGAGAAAATTCAATGTATAATTTTTATTCACTATACTACATGTGGTATAAGGGTATAATAAACTTGTAAAGACGTATGCAAGAAGTATTCGAGATAGACTCGTCATTCTTTATTCAGAAAGTGATTCTGAATGAACCTCATCCGACCGTCTGTTCGTCTTGTGTTCAACATACAAATCCGAATTTTTGAAATATTTTCATGAAACTCGGTCCCCCGACATGTGTTGAGCCAAGGGCGAACGCTATTCAAACCGAAGTGTTGTAAAATATTTAATGGTCGGCCATGTCCCACTTTACTTAATTATTATAAATAATTATGTCCGTCAGCTACCTAAAATCGCTGAAAGTTCGAATCGTACAAGGTATGAAGTAGTTCTTTCCCAAGAACACTTCGGTTCGTTCTACCGGCAGTTTTCTCGTTCAATTAAACAACAAAAGGTGAACGGGCGCGTTCAATATGTTCTAATTAGAGATAATATATGAGGAATGAGTGGAAAACGTGACAAAATTGACAAAATTTCGAATATATTTGACTACTTATAATTTTGCTTTTATTGAATATGAGCAGTAGGGTCCTTCGTAACATAAGTTTAGAAAATTGCAATTTTCTGCTTTGTACATAACTTATGAGCAATGAGCAAGAACCTAAAAATATTCGTTTAGAGAAGAAGAGCTTCTTTCAAATTACGACTGAGTTTGCAACCTTTAATAGACTTGATCCATTATCGACATTAACATGCCTTGCAAGAACTTTCAAAGGATCTAACAATCTTCAGGTCTATATCTTAATTCTTCTTAACAATTCTTCTTACAACCAGGATCGTGTCAACAGCAGATGTTCGCAAAGACGGACAGACATAGCTAGGTCGAATTAGAATTTTCAATTAAATGTATACCTTTTATAGGGTCTCTGAAGCTTCTTTTTGTGTGTTTCAAACATTGTGACAAATGGGTATAAAAACTACGCTCTACCGGAAATTAAATAGGGAAACGAGCTATCTTCTCCTCGTTTTTAATTCAATAATAAAATCTATTTCAATTTCTAAAACCAAAAATTATTTGAAAAATACTTTATTATTCTCAATTTGCTCCATTGCCAGACGAAGTTTTCTTATAAATAATATCTAGCTACGTAATGTGTTAATATTGCTAAGAGTAGGAAAATATTTTACGCTTCTATTTGAAACTCTTTCCAGTTTAACAGCTGCTGGTTACTTGTGTTATCTACAAGCAATTCATCGTTTAATAGACGAATCGCATCGTTTGCCGTGGCGTGAAAAACTATTAGAATTATCGCCTGATGAGTTGGTCATAGTTGTGCTAGTGGTATTTTTATGCATTGTTTGCTTAAAGGCCTACGCCATTGGTATAGTATGGCGATGCTATAAATATCTAACATTACGTCAGCAAAGTTTGCGCACTCTCCTACCTTTGGGTATACCTGACTTGTCCAATGCAACAATGGGAGCTGAGGAACGGGCTTATTCGACCTTGTTGCCGAACTACGACGAAGCTGTCGCTCAATTCATGAAGCAAGCACCGCCGCCCAGTTATCAAGTGGCTATGTCTAATTACTCAGGCCAACAGCAGCAACAATTACCAAATAATAACAATATGAATAGCTTACCCGTGACTTTGGAGGAAGATAACAACAACGATACATCTAATAACAATAATACGGTGCATTTCAATGCTAATACACCGCCTATGCGACGTAACGAGAGTATTGGTGATGATATTGATATTGATATTGGTGCGGTCGGCGGTGAGGAAATAGTGCCGCCGCCAGCTTACAATGAAGTAATAATTGTTCAGGCGGCAACTCCTAATCCCCCCAACAGTGAAGTGGCTGGAATGTCAGGTCAGACTTTAACAAAGGCGACTAATGTTCAAATCTCATCCGGCAATAATACCGACGAAAGTCAGGCTTAATTTGCTTAGTAAGTTTCAGTATGGCAGAATGATATGAAAAAGAAGTTTTTTATATGAGAAGTAAAATGCAAAATTTCGTAATTCATCTTTATATTGGGTTGTGCTTCAGGAAATATGCATTCAAATGTTTTCCTTTACCATTTTAAATTTGAATGCTGTGAAAGGGATGATATAAAAATTGACGTAAAGTCATATATATATATATATATATATATATATAGTCATATATATGCATGAAAGGAAGTAAGTATTTGATATAAAAAACTGAATTATGCTACATGTAAATGCTATACATCACTGTTTCTATTTAGCACAAAATAATTTCGAAATTGAGTAGAAAACGTTTTGAAAAACATATTTTACCTTTTTACACTTGTTGGTCAACCAAATTTGCTTTAGAGAAAGAAAAAAATGTAATGGAAATCATGAATTATTATGTAAAAGAAACCTGAACTTATGTTATAATTAATATAATTAATGAAAAAGAAAGAAGACATTTATTGAAATGATTATGTATCCAACCATTCTCTTTCTATCTTTCTCCTTTTATCTCTTAACTGATAATAAAAACTAATATTTAGCAGTAGTTGAAATAATTATTACATAAGCATAGCACAGCATGCGCAAGTATGTAATAATTAATAAAACAATGTAAATTAACGAAAATTCTGAACAGAGAAATACAAGTTTTAAAATAAATGCTTTCAAATAAGTGCATACAAACTAATCTCTGTTCCTCATATAAAATGTTCAATATATTTTATATATAGTACACATTCTACTAAGAAAAAAATTGTTAAGCTATTATTAAAAATGTAAACAGAAAAATTACAATATATTTTCTTGATTTTTTTTTTTTAATCCTTGCTTTTTTATATGTTAACAATAAAGTTTCAATGACATCTAAACAACTTTCATGTACGATAATTGAGCCCTTTCTTATTTTATATTCGAATTTTTTTTGTATACGCTCTCGGTCTAGCTCAGCAGGTACTGATTACTTTCTAATAACTAAATTTATGTCACGTAACATGTATTTTTTAATATTTTAATAATTATTTTTGTGTTAAATATGATTTTTAATGCATTTTATTAAAACGAAACAAAACAAAAAAGAAAATGTTTACCTATTTAAATAATAATTGAATTTATTAAACATTATCACCCTAGAAACGTATGAATTATGTATTCGAATACCTTTTAGTTTTTAATTTAATAAAAAATACACAAAGAAAAGAAACTTAATAAACGCAATTAAAATGAAACTGTAAAAATTGAGAGATCCAAGAGCCGAATAGCAATAACAGTGGAATGTGAAGTTTTTTCAATGTTATCAAGAACGCTTAACTGCCCCATTCTGTGCAGAGACATGTGTTCAACATTATAGAGACATCGCAAGTCGCAATGCATTTCCTTCTGTCTGTTTTACGGCTGCAAACGGTAGTGTAAATAAATCAGAGACAGCCCTGTGTCTGATATTCTGCTAGACTATACAAGCACGTCAGACAATCTGCCTATGTTAAGTTCAATGTATTTAAGACTAAACAAAGACGTCCAATGCATTACGCTACTAATAGTTATCGTCTACTAACGGACCTATACTACAACCGATTTACCGCACACTCCGCGACACTGTTTGAAAGGACCTTTGATGATGAATGTATAGCTGTTGTTGCCTTAGTAGTAATCGAGTCGAGGTTTGATAAACCCGCTAGCGGAGAAAGCTTACTTGCAGCAAAAGCATTATATATGTAAAATCAAACATCGCGCTAGCAACATTTACGCAACAATATTGTCAAGTGCTACCAGACACAACGAAATACATACAAGCTCTAATACTTAAATCAAAATTGAGATTAGGAGATTCTTAGGGACATTGTGTATATCTGTTACCAATAACAGTAGTGACGGTGTTAATTAGCATCCATTTGTATGCTCTTGTATTTTTATTGTTTGTGCGGACACGGATTCTGTTAATAATTTCCTGACGTCGTGACCCCTCAAACGTTTGCAAAGTAGAAGGACATAGGAATCTGTGGGTTTAAGTGAACATGGACTAACGTATGCATATAATTGCCTAGCTAAGGAGGAATTTTAGATTTTACGTTTCACAAACGTGTTTGCGAATTTCAGTCAGAATTTTCATTTCAAGATATATATAAAATTTTTTATTATTAAAAAAAATTATATTTCGTTTATTTTATTTATACATTTATTAATTCTATTTGCTCACAGGTACATATTTGATATATTCTAACCAATTTTTATATTTTTCATATGCCAGAACTAAACAAAATAATAAGCTTACGCAACTGATTCCTTATTTTTCGATCAATATATTTTGTCGTCATGCAGTCGGCCAAAAAAAATTCACATTTTTGTACAATAAGCCTCTTAATCTGAAGCCCAGTAAGTGGCCTTGACGCAGTCATTACAGTCTTCGATCGCGGTAAATGAATTATTCGGGTTCTCCATAAATTTATCTAAAATTGGTTTCCTAACAACTAATTGAGGTTAGTTTTTACAATATTCTTCTACGCATATCTTACATTGGCACCAATACATTTTAAAATTGCCATTATTGGGCGTCTGCAGATATGGCTTTTCTGCGTTGTAATTTTTGTGTTGTATGGAACTTTCGCACAGACTGCTTGTAAAATGCCGTTATGCTTTAAGACATGTTGATGTATGGTATACCCTGAAGAGTATCTCTGTGTCCGTTCTTTCGCATGCTTCGTTATAGACATTTCCGATGTGTCTGCTTCATCATCGCAATCAATATTAAATTCGTTTTGCTCTACAAAAATACCGTCGCCGAGTTTTTGCCTACTTAATTGGTTGTCAGCTTTCATTGGGTAAACTTCCACAAGCCCTTCCTTACTCGTCACTTGCAGGGTCCCTGTTTTTTCTTCTCGCCAATCTGTAGCCTAGTCCAAGAGCATATCAGCGCTCTTATTCAAACTTCAAACTTGCCTTGTCGAATTGTTAACGGAGACTCTTCGTGGGCCTTGCCACGATATAATTTATTTTGTAAGTCAACGGACGTACGTTATTTCCCAATCGCAATTTTCGACAATATTTTCCAAGCTATTCCAGTTTAATTATTGGGGGCAAAATAAAAATTGCGTCTCCTTATATACTAAAAATATCTTTTGCAATATTTATCATGGATGCTATTGTAATACAAGGCGGTTTCACTCCGCTTTCATCTTTAACTATGACGTTTTTCAAATACCGCCGTGTATCCAATAATTTTAAATTCTTTTCAGCTACCATCGTAGATATATATGTAAACTCAGCGTACCGTTAACGACATCTGTTCAACAACGTCTCCAGCTATAGCTATAGAAATTTAGTTGCGTAGAAAATGGGTTATATTTCCTCAAACAAGAAAAGGAGTTGAAATAGTTTTGATTGGTGACAAAATTGTGAGCCCCAAATGAAGCTCACAATTATGAACACTTCGATTTGATAATTAATATTTGTAGAGTTTACTTCCATTCAATTTTACCACATTGTGGGACAGAGATGGGGAGGGATAGAGATAGAGAGAGATAGGTAGATAGATACATAGGTGGATAGATAGATAGATAGATAGATAGATAAATAGATAGATAGATAGACAGAGAGAGAGAGAGAGAGAGAGAGAGTAAGAAACAGCTAACGAATTTTATAAAACTCATTTCGATGTTGTGTTTTCATTTGATTATAAGACGGACGTGCATAGAATGCAAACACAAAAAATAAATAAAAAACCATTCGTTTTTGTTTCGAAAAAGAAAAGGTCTTTGAATCCAGTTTAAAATAAAATGTGGCTTTCCGATAAAATTACTCAAATTTCTATCCTCAAAGAGCTGATATTTCAAATTCTTATTATATAGCTGTTTGCGTAGTCTGATTTTCCGTGTAAATTGTTGCCACAGACAACGAAAATGGACATCAAACCAAACTATGCTTATGCGAGCGCGTCTTTTATTTATTTTATTTATTTTATTCCACTTATACTAGAAACTCAACTAAACAAGTAGCAGTCGAGTTCAATAGGCTCTTAATGCAAAACTAATATTAATTAACAATAAAATTGAGTATAAGCATAATAAAACAAATAAGAAGAGAAAAAAAAAGAAAAAGAAAAAAGAAAAAAAAAGCATGTACACTATCAGCATAGGAGCACACTTACAACCGGTACAGGACCAAATTGCAAATGAACCCCTAAGCCATCGCAAACATGCATAAGCCTGGCAACCGATAATAAATTAACAATAATTCACTTTCGAAACGTAACGACTTTTTAAGGATGAAAGCTAGTTTAAATACGACATAGGTAAATCGCGCGTATTAAGCAATGTTGCTTTAATGGACTTTAAAGAGTCCGATAACGAGAATAAGTGGTAGACGTCATTTAGGTTCTTGCAAACGACTCTGAGCGGATTGAACAGCTCATAATTAAATTTACACTGATTAAGCTTTACCAAGATAAAGTGCCTAGAGAAGCGGTTAGGGACATTGAAGCTTACTTCACCAAGTAATGAAGGCGAGTCAATAGCACCATTTATTACTTTAATTAGAAAGGAAACGCCAAGAACAAATCTACGTTTCTCAAGAGACGGTAGGGACAGCAGAAGCAACCTATTTTCATACGGAGGAAGAGAGGCAATCGGATCCCAACCCAAATTTCTAAGGGCAAACAGCAAGAATTGCTTTTGAACTGATTTAATTGAATCTACGTAGCACCTATATGAAGGAGACCACACAACTGAGGCATACTCGAGTATGGGTCTAACCAAACACATGTACAGCCTTTTCGTAATGTAGGGATCATCAAGCTCTTTGGACCACCTTTTTATAAAACCAAGCGCGGACCTAGCTTTGCTAATCGAGAGCTCAATATGCAAGTTAAAACGTAACCTATGGTCAAATAGGACGCCTAAATCCGTAATCGAATCGACGTCCTCCAACTTATGCGAATCTATGAAATACTGAGTAATGAATGACTTTCTTCTTGAGAATGAAAGCTTCTTACATTTACTCAGATTTAGTTGCAGGAGATTCAAAGAGCACCATGTAACAAAATTATCTAAATCACCTTGAAGCTGATGTGATTGCGATTCAACAGAGAAGGAAGAAAACAGTTTCACATCA